TATGTTGTCACAGTCCAGGCATTTTAGTTCTTCCAAACAGCAGAATTCCCAGTCTTGTTTGTCTTGCAGTCCCGATGAGGGCACTTCCACAAGTTGCATCCCATGGTTCGAGCACAATGTTGGAATTTGATAAGTGCGATAGTGTGATTGGGAACAAGTCACATCAGACCTGTATCGGCATTGAAGTCGTCCATTTTTGCATGTTGGTTTCCACGCCGTAATCAACATGAAAGCGTTGGGCCTGATTTGTGGCCATCGATGAAAAAAGGCAAATTTGGAGCTTGAGCAGATGTAGGTTGGCATTTTGCAAAATGGATACCGCGCCGAGTTCTGCGTCGGGATTGACGCTCGGAGGCCTTGTTGATGTTTTCTACAGACGTGTCTGGAATGCTCGTGATGACGATGCACTCATTGCAATTCTTGCGCCCGATGTGCGCTTTCGAGGATCGACTGAATCAGTCGATCGCATTGGGCCTGAGGCTTTCAGAGTGTACCGGAACTCTATTCACAATTGCTTACACGACTATTCTTGTACGATCCAGGACATCGTCACAGATGGCTCTGTTGCCTTTGCACGAGTATCGTTCAGCGGCTATCATTCCGGCGGTTTGTTGCTTGGTGTGCCCCCAACAAACCGACATGTCCATTGGATCGGAGCGGCTCGGTTTGCTCTTGCGCAAAGCCTGCAGCCATCCGGGCTGCCACAGATTGGTGACATCTGGGTGTTGGGCGATTTGCACGGCTTACAGAAGCAACTTCTTGTCTCTGATGAAAGAGTCCGTGATGCTGGTGTGGCCCTTGAGCATGCAGCTCCGGAATCCCAGGAAGGAATCTCAGACCTCAGTAGCAAAGTTCTCCGCGCATTGTGACGCGAGGTTGATTGGCGGGTGGATGCTGGAATCATGGCATGAAGCGAGGTGCGCAAAACTGTGTGCAACACGTGCAGCAGGTGAAGGAAATAGTTGCTAGTTCCAGATGATGAACGTGCCTTCCTTGCAGCTGAAGCTTGGGTTCGTTTTTGATGCGGGGTGTTCAAGGACAATTTATTTTGCAGACAAAAGCAAGTTTGGCACTGTCATGGAGCATTGCAGGCTCGAGGTCTCAGCAACCTTTCTTCCAGCACTTGGCAGCTGCTCAGTTCTTGTGAAACCTGAAGCAGTTATTCTTGTTCAGCCTTCGGCTCATTTCTTACAAGCAACAGGCAACAAGTAGGCTTGTGTCAACAGTTGTGCGTAGTAGACTTACTTGCGAAGGCATGCGCAGCAATGATGACAATAGAACAGCAAACGTCACACAAACTTTTTCTGAAGGATCAGTGGGGGAGCCGTGCCGTCGTCGGGCTACCATCCGTGGGAATCATGCAGATGTTGCAGGAATTCAAGCACTTCTGTGCACTACTGTAACGTGCAGATAAGATTGCCGGTGTTTTTGCCAAGCAGGTTGAGGCATAGAGTGTCCCACGCGAAACATGTGAACGACTTCTGGGATGCATGACTATGCTTCAGGCCTATGCTTGTCCCTTAGCCCAAAATTTCCTTACTTGTGATAGCAGCTTTTTGCTTGGGACTGCTATGGTGGGCGCCAGTATTGTTGACCGCGGGCCTCCCTTACGCCATGTGTCATCAAGGCGGGTGCATGGGTGGAAGAGCCTCTGCGAGGTGCACAGGAAGCCAGTCATGCGACGGGAATGTGTTAGTGAAAACAAACTTTGCAATCCGAAGTTGGAAGTGGGTACAACTTCAAGATAGCTTCCTTGAAAGCTTATGCATGGAGTGCAGCAGGGGTTGAGTCTTGGGGAGTCTTGCGCATTGTTTCAGCCCGCCGACGGTGGCTGCTGCGTTTGCTGCTGCTGCTCTCCAGTGGCAAGCATTCAAGGCGTTGGCAGGCACCCCATGACAAGTGCCTTCTGGTTGTAGGGTTTTGCAGGTAGCGGTGCACGCATGTGCCAGAGCTGCGGAGCATCGCTGAGGGTGCAACAACACCGTCAACTCTAAACATGGAATCAAGGATCAACAAGCTGAGCACAGCAAAAGCGGTTTCTGCTTCAGCCTCTGCTTGCAATTAGGTGGAAAGTTCAACAGGTGAATCTACGCTGGTCGATCCTAGTATTCGCGCAAGCTCCAGGTAGCAACAGGCCCACTGAAGGCCTGGCAGAGACGATGGCCCGCTGCTTGAACTTTGGAGGTGCTGTGGTTCGAGCCTGCGCAAGCTTCTAGAGATGGCTTGCTTTGAGGCAGTGAACTCTTTATAGTGTGGTGGATTTGCACGATTGTACAATTTCCATTAAGCCGTCATGCAAACGTATCAAAATGCAGATACCTTGACAATTACATCTAAGGACCTCTCCTATGCATCGCTGCGAGTTCTAGTGGCACAGGCTGCTGTTGGCCTTGGCAGGGCCGCGGAAGGCACCACGCTTGAATCACTAGCAGAACATGACTTGCTTTGCATGCAAAATTGGACAAGCATGCAACTACGTCCGGTTGCATGGAGTTCAGTTGGGTTTAGTTTATGTTGTGTGCCTGCTGTCCATGCTGGTGCCTGTTGTGGTAGGTGACCTGCAAGGTAACGGGAGAGTAGTCGTTGAGCATGGAGAGACTCAGGAGTTCGGGAGAGTCAGAAGGAAGTCATGGAGACCTGCTGCATTAGAGCCGAACAACTCTTTAGCGGAAGTTTCTCGAGCAATTCCGTCTTGGACAGATTGTTGCATTGTCGCGCCTGCATTCCACGAAGAGCAAAATGGTGTCGTAAGTCGTAAGTGTGTAAATTAGATGGGCCCATTGGCTGTTAGTGAATTCACTGCGAAACATGAACCACCGTCGCCAAATCACCTGGCTAGTACGTCAGATGTTCCAAGGGGCTTGGAAGAGGACGTGGAAACGGAGCAAGTGTTTACTGAAATGCTTTGAGGGCTGACCGGGAGCGCTAGACAGCACATAGCCCCAGAAGCAAAATGAACCGAAGCCCGACTTTCGAATTGCTCAGATGGCTGAGGTGGCCCTCTTCATAGACCAGGCGGCGCCGCTTGTTGTGGCGATGCTCGCGGCGACCTGACAGAAGCCCTAGCAGCATAGCTTGCAGCGGGACGTTCCCTTTGGGTTTGGAGCAGAATCGGAATCTGGGCCCTGCTAGAGGCCCGGGTAGCAAAACAGGGCAACTCCTAGAAAAGCAAATGCTACTGCTGAGATCCTTTGGGCTGGGCTCTGCTTCGTGCCGGTCGACCTGGCCGCGTGGCCTCGTGACCGCTGCCGCTATGCCGGGCACACAGGGCGCATAGTCTCTTTGCATTTTGTTTGCATTGACTTTCTGTCCCGCAATTTTCAGCTTCCAAGCACGGAAAACGTGGCCTCTGAGCTTGAGCTACAGGAGCAGTTGCGAGAAAAGATCCCTTTCACGCTGCTCAAGTCTACAGGAGATTTGAAATGACAAGAGCTGACGCACCCTGCATGAGACTTGCGAGTGCCAGGCTGACGGTTGAGCTTCTGCTCATTCAGGGCTTCAGAAGTACAATTTCTTTACCTCTGAGGTAATAGATGTCGCCGGGGCCGTATTGGCGCTGGCCTCCGAGGCCTTGTGTGTAATGTTTTATCAAGCCTACCAGTATCAGACTGTTATCTTGAGTTTTTCGTTCAATTCCATAGACCGGCAGTCATTGCTGGAAAGATTGAAAATAATTTCGCAGCAGCTTGATGAAGACTAACGTTCGGACAACAAATGGCGATCCTGATTGTGGCTCTCGGCCATCATGCTCGCAACAGTGCTTCTGATCAGCATGGCGTGTCATTTGCAGAACTCTACGGCATGAAGCTCCCGCAGGCTCAGCTTGAGATGGCCATGCGGCTATTGGAGCCTTCAGCAGGAGGAGTGGAGATGAATTTGAGAGCTGACGGCTTTTCACAACCAGTTGACCCACTCCACCTGGCCAGAAGTTGGTGTTCTCTTGATTCACTTGATGCATCTTGATGCTAGCGTTGGTCACCTTAGCCATTTGAACAACCAGTCGTGTTCGAAGGATCAGTCCCAATCGTAACGCTGGAAGAAGCCCTGGCGATGCCGAGCTGCTGGCTTGGAAGCCTTATGCTTGTCAGATTAGCGGAGGAGTTGGAAGTCAATTTTTTCATTGTACCTACTGACCTGGTGAGTGATCGACATTGAGTGCTCGCTCAAATGAGACATAACGTAATGCCACCTGAATCCACGAGAAGCGTCTAGGAGGCGGTTTCATTGATTCATATTGCAGAGGGCGAGACAGATTCAGGCCAAGAGGGTGCCATTCGATGCTAATGGGTACGAGCCGTAGCAGGTCATGCCAGCCTAGCACAAAAAAGAAAGACGTTGATGCAGAGGCCGCAGGCCCCACACGAAGGACAGAGAGTTGTGAATTTGCGGCCAATTTAAGATGCCCTCCTAGATGACCGTGAGCCGCTGCTCTCTTCACCTGCAGATATGGAACCTGAGGACTGCCAGCTCTCTTTGAACAGTATGAGACCGCTTGCTTCCCCCAAGCCCCGCGTAAGAAACTTGCAGCCAGGCCGGGAGCCCTGAACACATTCTGACTTTGTCCTGCCTGCATCTGACTGCTGCGTTGGCCGCCTCTGCGACAAAACGCTTTGTGACGAGTTTGCGTTTTTTGCTCGCTGTCAAGATGGCAACTATGCCCAGGGGAAATCCCCGAGTTTTGATTACAGAGTCTACTTCATTTTGTCGACATACTCTACAGACAGGCTTCAGCTGCAGTCGATGGTCACTCCTTAAGCTAATTTGATGTGATGAGGGTAGAGGCATTTGGCATTCTGTCAGTCTGTCTGTGTATTGATTTGACATGTGCTGCCAGTCCGAGTATGGGGCTGCGAGGATCTTGCCTATGCGATCTTCACTTCCGGCTCCACAGGCGAGCCTGAGCATATACCAGGGTGTTGGAGGTTCACAGGGTTGCCAAGCCCAAGCAGAGCCAGTGAAACAACGGCTTCAACTTACCTATCTCTACCGGTGTAATTGAGGACGGCCGAAGTGCGTTCTTTGTGAGCACACTTGGCTGCAATTCAGTGTGTCCAAGTCAACTGTTCAGTCCTGTGCAAGGTAAGTAAAGATGATGTTGGGCCCGCAAGCAGGTAGGACTTGTGTCATGTAGTTGTCAACAAGTCATCCAGAGGATCGTAGCTGCTTGACATCGCATCGCAAGTGCAAGATCACCGACCCACAAGTATCTTCAAATCCGAACCTCGACCTGAAACTGGGACCCTGCTTCTCTATTTGCGCCTCTCATCTTGAGCCACGTCTGCGAAGAATCTTGACAAGGCTCAAACTTGCGGGAGCCATTCTGGCACTCCTACTTACTTGATTGCTGTTTTCAACGGCCATCAGCAGCCAAATGTCCTCCTGCTAAGTTAGTATTCATCATGCTCCACTCAGGGAATGTTGCGCTTGCATTGAGTAGCGATCCCAAGCTTCTGCTGCGAACGCCTTCAGCTTGGAGATCAAGAGCTTTTCAAAATCACATGTACGTGTCTCATGCTTGTGTCCTCATATCGCGAAACTCCACTTGTTAACAGTTGGTCATACAAGTAGGAGTATCTCATCGCAAATAGATTGCGATGTTGCCCGCGGCGGGAGTTGTCCCCGTCTGTTTATAGCATGGCAGGAACTCTTGTAGCCGACGCCTTGTCATTGGAGAATTTGAGTAGCGCGCCGAATTTCTCTGAATTTTGCTTGTTTGTTCCTACCGTCCGGTCTTGAACTGCAGCTCTTCCTTTCAAGAGCCTAGGCTATCATATTTTCATCTACCACTAGCAACAGTTTTCCTTCAAGTCTTCGTGGAAACGTGACAGCTATCACTGCCACGCCCCAATTTTGTTGGGACGCGCTTGAGTATTGGAGAGGGAAGGCACCTTGCGACAAAAGATCTGAACAAACCGCAAAGGGGGCGGTTTGGCTAAGTCCCGGAGCACTTGCAACCAGGCCCCTCAAATCAGAAAGGGCGTGGTCTCGGCAAAACTGTGCTCCAGTACAAAGCATAAGGAAACGGTGCGATGGTGCGATGTCTGTGCTGTCAAGGCATCGAGCTGCCTTGGCCTATGCCTGGGCCAAGGCGGAGGTGGAGGAGCTTGGGCCAGGCTCTGTGCCCAGTTGGCTCCATGCCACACATCGACACACTCATATGTTCAGGCTCGAGCCAGCAGTCAGGTTGCCTACATTTCAGGTCTTCTTGCCTGCCATTGCCTGCCAAGGTAGCCGCCAGCTTTTGGGATCTCATTTTACCTTCGATCCTGCGCAAGGCTTTGGGCTGCCATGTGACCCTCAACTCTTTGAGCCCTCAAGCAGGTGATGTTTTCGGAGCCCTGACCCTCGGTGCAACCCTCGTTGCACTTCCCCGCGCGTGCCGTGGCTCACAGCAGACAAAGCTCTACCTTCAAGATTCTGCATATATCCTCAAGTTGAATTGTTGAAGGTCTGTCGCCAAAGAGAGACGGCAATGATTGCGCTTGCGCTCGTAACCAGGGATCTGCGGCAAAGACTGAGGACAGTTCTGGGTGCTCTGCATGATGCCCTCGGCCGCCCGTCGCTGAAAGCACAAGCCAAGCAACCTACCATGGGGGATTCTGCGGTGATGCGATGATGTGCTACATTGGCTGCATGATGCCGCATGCCGCATGATTCTGATCCGAACCGGTCTCGCCGGTTTCCTCCTAAAAAAATCTACTTCCGCAGGCTTTCAAGTGCAGAAAGACCACAAAGAAAGGCCATGCCCGGCCTCCAAGGACTGGATGTAAGCCATGCCACAATGACGCCAACGCAGTGGTCGTTGAAGGTACGGGTTGAACCCTCAGTTCAAGCACCTCACTTTGCCTCGACAGGCCCCTGGCCTGCTGCCAAAGCTGCAGCACTTGCCACTGGGCTTTGCGTAAGGATGTCACTTGGTTAGGGCAGGTCTGGGGCCAGACGATGCTTCTCTGCCACCGCCTTGTTAGCCAGCGGTAAAGGGGGCCCCATTTCTGCGGAAGCTTCAGGTGGCTGGTGTGGGGGGATCGCAACTTTGCTGAGTGTGCACTGAAGTCAGGACCTTGTGCGGAGAAACCATGCGAGTGGAACCTTGGGCTGATCTTTGGTACAGGTGTAGGGCAAGTGATGGGCTTGATCAAGTAGGCAACTATCCAAGGTCTCAATGAGGCCGTAGGTAGCAGCATTTAGCGCCATGATTTGCCATACATGGGGCTCTAACCCACGCCCAGCTCAGATCCGTTTCACATCCAACCACTTCAAGTTGGTTTGACATCCACCCACTCGGTCCTGGAAGCCTCTATAGATTCGGTAAGCCTGGAATGTGCTCAATCTCTCCTCATCAACATCCATTGTCTATCAGCCAAAGGAGACAATTGAGAACTGGTCATCGGCACTGGCGCTGCGAAACATGTATGGCGCTGCTGGGACAGCACTTGAACTGCACTTTGGCCATGAAAGTGTTTCTTTAGGTTTGTACATTCCATCATGATGGCTGAGCAAGATAGCTCGGAACGGATTTGGCAGTTGTTCTGTTGATGCCATTGTATATGGTGCTGAGGTCACGGAGGCAACTGGGCTGCAGACATCCCATCGCACTGCAATTGGCGACTCACCGCGCCTGGGGCATGTCAGCCTGCATGATCTGTGGTTCTTTTTTCAGCTTCAGAATAGGAGATTTCGTAGCCTGCTTTCTTGTTGTATTCGGTGTCCTAAGGCCTGCCCCCATGCTGACATGGTTGTTGTTTTTGTTGCTGCTGCTGCCGATGCCTTCCTGATACCTTATGGATATGTATCTCCTGGTCAACCGTGTCTTGGGGTTCAGGTTAAACGTGTGTAGGTTTAGTTGATGATCAGGAAATTGGATCCCATGGTGCAAGGCAGGTGCCAGCTGAGTGAGTCGAAAGTTTGGCCCATGCCAACAGCACACGCGACCAACATTACAAAAGCCTAGTGGGCTTACTTCCGAGCCTTCAGATTGAGCTTCGCCTCCACCGAGGAAGCTTGTGGGTTGCGCCTTGCCCGGCTATATTGTGGCGCTCAGTGAGGCCTTCACGATTCAACTCTCTACCAGTAGGAATGGGTTCTTGAAAAATCAGCTTTGCAGTCGCTGTGGCAGAGGTTGCCACTCACTCACTCCATGGTCTAAAGTCTTAACCTCTTTTTGCTTTCTGCAGCTTCAGGCTCCTTGTAGTTTAATCAATATCTATCGGATCGATCACAGGAGGCCGAGATCCTTCTTGCGGGCCGCGGTCTTGCTCGAGGGTACCTTGGCCGCGATGAGGCTGGGAGACGCTGGCTTTCAGATGTTTCTGTTTGCATGAAGATGGTGCAGGAGACGAAAAGCTGCTTTGTGGACATCCCCGCCATTGGTGATGCTGGCACAGAGGTCCGGAAGCTTCGGTTTACAATTGAAAGCCCGGAAAGCAAGTCCCTATAAGTGTTGGCATGAGAACATCCACAAGTGACTCTGGAGGCCCGGGCTTACCGCACCGGCGACCTCGGCGCAAGCAGCTCGCGAGGTCTGATTCTGAAAGGCCGCAAGGATCACCAGGCGCTGCGGCATGAGGTTATGACTGCACAAGTTTGTCTTCCGGTCGCGATTCGTGATCGGCATTGCAGGTGAAAATCTCTGGAGTTCGCGTTGAGCTTTCTGAGGCGCCTCTGTCCGCATTTCTGTGCTCTCTGTGAACTGGCACTGTTGGAACCCGCGCTTTTGTGCTCCGTGTGCTGTCTTATTCTGCTGTGAAGCTTGTTTCTTTTTTGGTTCTGTGTGCTCTTTAATCTTTAAGGCCTCCCATGAGAGGGAAGGCAGGCTTTTTTGTTGCTCTTCCCGTCAGGCACGCAAAAGAAACAGGCACACCGAGCAACGGAAACAGACTCACCTCCACTGTCCTTCTTGCAGATTGGACTTGTGGCATGGAGGCTTTCTTGCGACAGGAGCAGATTGGCTCGTGGAGTCAGTCAGCGCACTGCATAGGAAGTGGCAGTTTGTGCTGCTTGTGGCGACTAGTGATTTTGTTGCAGTTCGAGGTGGAGCTTGCGGTCTTGGCTGCTGGGCTCGTGTCTGCCTGCACGGTGGTCGTTGCTGAAGGTGTGCTGGTGGCGCATGTTGCCAAGGGCTCAGCATGGCTCAGCCTAAGGTTGATGAAGTGTCGGTTCCAGTGTGCTGTTCAGAACTATCAATGTAGCAACCTCTCCTGCCCATCAGCAGGTTTGTGCCTTGCATACATAAACCAACAAGCACATATATCTATGGTACGGGCTCATTTTCATACGGTGCGGTCAGTGGTCGGTCGAGGCGCTTGGCAACTGCGCCATGGACTGGATCCTTCGAGCAACGCTGGAGGCCCGCGCAGCAATCTGTTTTTCTGGCAAGCCGCATCCAGAAACATCAGAGGGCCATTGAGAAATGTGCCAACTCACCATGCCTCGGAAGATGCGCACCTGACCCCGTGTGAGGCCTGCGCAGCTGCGCGGTTGCCGAAGGAGGTCCCAGGTTTTGGGATTGCTCTTGGTCAAGGTTGTGCCTTGACCTCAAGGTTGTGCCACACCATTTCCAAGCTCACGAGAAGCTGCCCCTGGCGCCTGGGGGAAAAGTGCACCGCCAGGCGGCGGAAAGATCTTCCCAGACATCCCAATGAGACGATTCTTTTTGCATAGGCCTTGGAGGTGCTCGGTCTTGGTGCGTGTGGCACACCCGGTGGCCCAATTACCACGCCATTGGAGGCGATTCTTCCGTTCTGCCAGTTTCAGTGGAAGTTTCAGTGGACCTTTCCGCTGTCTCAAGGACAGCGTTGCCGTGGCCTGGGCAGCGGCACTCAGACGGCCCAAGGAACAGCTGGGCACCACGGCGGAAAAGACTTGCGCTCCGCGCATGTTGCACATGTCTTTCTCACGTCTTTCTCCGAAACGCCAAGGCCGGAACTCCAATTTCCTGTGGCTCGGCGGCGACAGTCTCGCTGCATTACGTGCCTGCCGTGCCTTGCGCGAGGCACTGAACCTCCCCCCTGGTTATGTTTCGCATGGTTTTGGGCCAGAGTCGAACTTGGAGTTGCGAGTGGAGAAGGCAGCGTGGAGTGTGGAGAGGCGAGTAGAGAGTGGCGCTATAAGTGGAGTGGAGAGTGGAACAGAGAATTGAGAGGGCGGTGAAATGTACAGAGAGGTGGACAGTGGAGTGGACTGTGGACTCGAAAGTGGAGTGCAGAGTGGAGTGGAAAGTGGAAAGTGGAACGGAAAGTGGATGGCAAGTGGAGTGCAGAGTGGAGAGGAAAGTGGGACTGAAAGTTGTCGGAAACTCAAGTGGAAAATCGAGTTGAAAGTCGAGCGGAGAGATGTGGAAAGAGATGAGAGTGGGGAGTGGAGTGGAGTGGAGCGTGGAGTGGTATTCGAGGCCCCTTGAGAGAGGTTTTAGGAAAGGTTGAAAAGGCCGAGGCCCTTGGCCCTTGGACTTGTCTCGAGGGCCCCCTTGGCAATGCTTTAGGGGCTTCGGCTCCTGAGATAGCTTCTAGAGAAGGTTCCTACAAGCGGCCGGCGTGTTCAATTTTGGTTTTTGGCGTAGTCGTGATACGTCTTTCCTGTAGCCTCTCCGTCACTGTGCTACTTCCCTAAGCATTCTGAAGCCATCAAGACGACACTCAAACTGAGGTCGTCGTGTGTTGGTATGCAGAGATCAGTAGGTGTTGTGAAGCTGGACGCCCTATCGTCCAGTCTGCCCTGAGACTTGAGGAGGTGCGACTTGCAGCTGACAGCGTCGAAGCGCAGGACTTGGATGTTCAGCAGGAGCACAAAGAGACTCATCCCGGATCATTTCGGCAGAATGTCCTGCATCCTGCAAGTAAAGAACCAAGTTTGCAGGAGCAAAGGGGTGAAGCTGGACTACTTGTGGAGGCAGAAGCGCCGCCAGGCAGGGGCTCTGTTTGGTTCTGTTTCTCTTTGACACCTTCAGGTGTCTTGGACCAGCATGGCAGGAGCGCTTTGTGTGCTGAGTGCGGCCTTGGGACCGCTGGCACCTTGCGAGCTCCTGGCCAGGCAAATTGCACTTTTTGCTTTCAGAAAGTGTGCAGTTGAGCAATCTAGGCTTTCCAGGCTTTCCTTTCATTTGGAGCGTCTCGTCAGAAACAGCAAGGTAGGGCTGAAAAAAGCAGTCTTGCCTTTCTCACCAATCTTACTCTGACAGATTGGCATGCATGTGTGTGACCAGTGCAAGCCTCATGGAAACTATTAGCACGACAAAAACTTCTTTGCATACTTGTAGATCTGGCGGTTGCAGCAATCCCGCACACGACTGGGCAAAACACTGCGCCAAGAATCAGCTGTTATAATTCCCATCAAGGAGTCTGGCATGGGCTGAGCTTCCAAGCGATATGGTCAGAGGCCGACGCTTCAGCAGTACGCGGCCTTCCTGGAAGAGCAGGGCGTTGACGTTTCAGGTGGGGATACACAGCGCTAACAGGAGACATGCATGGTTGCGTGGAGTCGAAATGTGCATCACTGTCGTGTGCATACTTGGTCGGCCAAGAGCCCCCAGCGAGTTATATAGGTAGGTCAGGAAGGTCCCTCACCGCCCTGTTCGCCTGCAAGATGTTGATAGTTCCTTGCTAGCTTCTGAAGTTTGACTTCTGTCCATCCCACGAGCAGAAAGAGCGCGTGCGAATGCAGCTAGGGTGTCACGGCAATAGTGGGTGGTGAGTGGGCAAATCTGTGTACGGGGCAACCGGCGCAGAGCTGGCGATCCTGCAGCTAATACGGCAGCGGGTACTAGCGCTGAAGGCTTTCATGCCGGAGGTTTGCTCCACTGGATGGCAAACACAGATGCAGATGCAAACGTTAAGTTCCAAGTGTCTTTTGGGTCCTGTCCTGGTGCTGCGGCTTGCCAAGTGAATTTGATGAAGGTGTCTTCCAGCCTCTTGCCAATATGGCAAGTGCAGAGGACGCAGGTGGCTTACGGGTTCGAAAGTGGTGAAACTGTCTTCAATTTGGGAAGCAGAAGATCTGACCCCCTTTGCAGGCACAGGCAGCTCGGCGGAACTGGCGCTGGCTGCTGCAGCCCGTGGCTAGGTCCGAAAAGAACCATCCAAGACATGAAAGAGCTTTTTGTTTTAGAACAAGTAATTCGAGATTTCGCCGAGGTGAGGGCCGCCAAGATTTGGTAAAGGCCTTGCTCCAGGCAGGAAGCTATAGCGTCAGGAGTCAGAAGGTGTAGTTTACCCAGGTAGTCCGCCAATCAAGGATTTTGTTTTCTGGCCCTGGTGTAAGCACATTGAGACCTCCATACAAGGCAGTGTTATTTCAGATATGATTCAGCTTTTGAGTTTTCTAAGCTGTTTGCTTCAAACGTGCAAGGTGCTGGAGAGGGTGGCGACAAGCTGAAACCCACAAGATGATCCCACAAGCAATGATGAAGACGAATAAATGCACATCAGAACGTGGAGACTGTTGTTGTTGTTGTGGTGGTGGCGGTGGTGGTGTGCCGCCACAGGTTGGAACCTCGCCGAATGGCAGTGCGTCTGGAACACCACCCAGGTTTGCAAGGGTACGGGACAAGACGTCTTTATTTGCTTTGTGGTGTGTGATCTTCCTGGTACAGGGGTTACACACCTCTGCACGCCGCCTGTGCTGCAGGGCAAGCAGGTCGGACAATTTCGCAATCAGCCAGTGCTTGCAGTTGTTGCATCGGGGGTTGATGGTCCGAGATGGGAAGGTTCTTGCACTTCTCTAGTGCAGACAGTGTGCAGTGGCAACAGACAGTCAACTCTTGAGACATCCATTGAGGACAAATCCAGATCAGAAGTTGCCTAGAGCTGCTAAAAACACGTCCCCATTCAAAGCCTTTGTTTTCGCCTGGAGTTGCTCGTCAGACTTCGGGCGGAGGCATTGCCATGATGCTGCTCGACGGCAAAGCCAACGTAAGGGCCATGACCGAGGCCGGAGGCTGTTTCTTGCCCCCCTCAGTGCCTTCAGTGACAACTTCAGTGCGCTGCCGCAATGTGCTAATTGCAGGCACGGACAAGCCCAGCACATCTGGCAGCTGCACAAGGGGTGTCTTCTCCTGCAAGAAGTGGAAGCTTTGTTTTACAAGTGTCGAAGTGAAGCCTTGCATGTAAACAATTTGAGCATGACCCACCTCGGAGTGTCACATGATCCCGTAAATACACACAGGTATTTCCTAGATTTTTTCTCTCGAAGGACGCAGCCATCCTTACCTGCCTGCTTGCAGCTGATGGTCCTGAGGCCGAACCTTCCCTTTCCGTCTCTGCCCGGGTAGATTCTCATCAGTTTTGGGTAGCAAAGGAGCCAACACAGTCCCCTCAAAAAATGATTGAAACAGTGGACATGCACATGCATGTTGGCCCTTCTGGTAGTCATGGCTGTGTTGCGTACCGTGCCAGGGTGTGGCAACTTGGGCACGCGACGCTGACCAGCCTCCTGACTCCAACTGGACTCCAACTGCCTCAAGCATGCTGAGACCCTGCAAGCACTGAAAGCATCTGAAAGCGGCTAAGGCAGACAATCCTTCATCTCGCTGCGAGGCATTCTATCCCTCCATGGTTTCGCGAGCACAGCATGAAAATACTGAACAAGGGTTACTGCCAAGTTTGGCACGCAGTGCACAAGCCATTGAGCGTAGACATGCCTCAGAAGCCGATCTGGGCATGCCAGGTCGGGTGAGGTGAAAGCTGTAGAATTGGTGCTGGCAAAGGTGAAGGCCGTGGCTTCAACCTGCGTTCGGATTTTTGGGTCTCGGTGCGTTTGCGACCAGGGCCTACGTGCCAAAGACGGTGGGCTCGAGGCCAAGGATCGATGGAGCAGGCACTCGGTCAAGTGGGCGAGTTGTACAGCGCAGCGAAGAGCCATCACAGCTCTGCAGAGCATAAGCAGCAAAGACTTCATGCTTCAGCGTGCAACTTCTTCGCTATAAAAGTGATTACTCTGGAAGCCATGTTTGGTGCTGTTGCTTGGGCTTTTCTCTGGTTGTGCCGTCCACATTGAACCAGGCGTGCCAGCCTCCCCCCCTCCCTCCCCCCCTCCCCCCCTGTGCCCCCGCTACCTCCCCTTTCCCTCCTCCCTCCCCCCCCCCTTGCTAGGTCCGGGCAGCAACCATTACATTAACATTACTACTGCTACTAGCCGCCTCTCGGGGAATCAGTGATCAATTTTGAGATCCGGGATATTTTGAGTAAAACGTAGTGCCTTGGGGGGGACGCCTACTAGTACTAGTACTAGTACTAGTACTAGTAGTAGTAGTAGTAGTAGTAGTAGTACTATTACTACGACGACGACGACGACGACGACTACTACTACTATTACTACTACTACTACGACTACTACTACTACTACTACGACGACTACGACTACTACGACTACGACGACTACTACTACTGCTACTACTAGGCATACTTGGTATTTGACGACTGTCTTTTCTGTGCTTCCTTGTCTGTGTATGACAGCCTCCATGCACATTTTCACTGCTATTTACAGCATTTCGTGTTTACAGAAGCCACTGTGTCCTTTTTTTTCTTGCAGTTGGGCATCGGGATTTTTGCCTTTTTTCGCATTCTGGTGCTCGAAGCAGCCTAAAGTATTAGTATTTGCAGCACATTTGGTCGTTGGTACATTTTCTTCTTGTAGCGCTTTTTCTTCCCTGAGACGAATTCTCTGGTATTTGCAGGGTTTCGTGGATTTTTACAGCTTCAGGCTGTTTGGCCCAAAATGCGCTTTTTTTTTTGCACGGAATTTCACAGCCTTGAAACGTTTTTTTTTTGAAGGGATGGGGGGTGGGGAGGGGATAATTACGTCCATAAAGACTTTAGGCACAGCAAGCTCATAAACAAATTAAGGCGCAGCAAGCTCCGAAGGAGAACCTGCCGCAAGGTTGAAAACGTAGCAAAAGGCCCAATAATACTTCGCCCGTACTATTCAGTTCAGGATTCAAAAGGTAGCAAAAGGCCCAATAATACTTCGCCTATACCGTTCAATTCAGGATTCAAAAGGTAGC